ATACAAATTTATTCCGTATAAGTACCGACCAGTTCAAACGCTTTTGGCAGGGGATCCAGAGAGAAGACTTGTTTTTTGCCATTGGTATCTTAGCTTCTGTCGCCAAAATGTAAATAACTTTCGTTACCTTTTATGGACAGATGAATCAAATTTTTCAAATTCTGGAATGTTTAATAGAAAAAACCACCATTATTGGTCAAGAGAAAATCTTTTGTTAGTACATCCAAGAGGCCCACAAGTCCGTTTCAGTTTCAACGTTTGGTGCGGTATAATTGGTTCAAAAATTGTTGGCCCGTTCTTTTATGAGGGAACCCTAACTGGTGAAAGATATGTGGAATTTATGTCAGAAATTCTGACTAATTTCTTAGACGAATTGGATCTTATAAGTAGACATCATCTGCATTTTCAGCAAGATGGCGCACCTGCCCACAACTCCAGAGGTACTTATCATTTTCTAAGTACTACTTTTAATGATCAGTGGATAGGAACAAATGGCCCAATACAGTGGCCTCCCAGATCACCAGATCTAAACCCACTTGATTACTTCTTGTGGGGTTACTTAAAGAACCAAATTTACAAGCGAAGGTACGATAACCTTGACGCGTTAAAGACTGCAGTTAGGGAAAAGATAACCCAGATAGATGGTAGGACCATACTTAAGACAGTTCGAGCAGTTGAAAAACGTGCCCAAAAATGTATTGAGGAACAAGGTGGTGTTTTCGAGCATCTTCTTTAAAAAAAATTGTTATTGTATTTTGTAAGATTATAAGTTGATGTTGAAAATAAAGTTTGTCGATACAATTTAATTGTTTCAGATTGGAGGCCATAACTTCAACAATTTGTAACCTAGGAGAAAAGTTATTGTAAGCTTTTTTGTTTAAAATTTGATGCTTTAACAGAAAAAAATATAATATACAGGGGTTTCCATTTAAAAAAATGTTATTTTACTGAAAAAAATCAAAATAACGACTCTCAATTGTTTTTTTTTATTTCTCATTTTTACCAGCGTTAAAAATGCTACTAGTTTGCTAATTCAAACAACTTTGTATTTTCACTAATAACAAAGTTACTAATGGTGGACACTTAATTTGGATAACCCTGTATATTGTATTTTTTATTTTATTCTTTAGTGAAATGGCGATAATTAAAAAAACTTTTTATTTCTTAAAAAGACATTTTCATAAAAAAATGTTATTCAAAAATGTAAATACATAAGAGTATATGTAAATAATAAAAACATAACGTAAGTAACAAAATCTGAATATACTATACAAATACAATTGGAACGTTTAAAATTTCAACATAGTGTTGCACTTCGTCGCCGGGTTGAAGACATTGCACATTTTGCCGATGATAAGGCTGTACAACTTCCCGATTTAAAATTGTCTACGAAAGACGTTGGGATCATGGTAACTGGATCCGCCTAATTAATCACTTCCAGTTCCTCTTGAACAGTACGCCGGACACCATGGCCTCTAACTCAGGGAAGTTTGGCAATTCCATATTGCCGATGTCTTAGAACTGAACGCGTAAAAACCTTTGGGGTTGGTTGGCGCCTATTAGGAAATCTACGTTGATACTCCCAAATAGCCGCAAAATCATTTCGATGACAGGACCCGTACACAAAAATAATATCGGCGTACTCATCATTGCTAAATGCCACTTCATAACACTCAAAAATGGAAAAAAGAGACTTTTGACTTTAAAACAAAATGGTAGTAGTAACGATAACAACCGTATAACATATAACTTTGACAAACTATACCTCAAGAAACGTCAAGTTTGTATCAAGGCCTCCTATTTTATTTTGAAACTAATAGTATCTCGGCTCTTGATGAATGATCTAATTTGTTTTATTTTTATGTTTACGAAAACAGTGAACTCTAGGAAAAAATACACGATTAATTATTTTTAACAAATTGAAGGTAAGAATTCGAAAAATTGCGTGTTTCGAAAAAAAAACAGTGGCGTACTATTTATATTTGGAAAAATAATGCTACTAATCCAAAGTATCTCCGCCACTGGTGCACGTTAATTTTAAGTAAAGACTTTTGAATGTGGACAATACTTAGGTAAATCCACATATCAAATTTTAGTTTATTCCAGTTTACGGTTTTGAAAATATCAAACAAATGTTTTTTATTTTTAAACTTCAACACCCCGTATCTTTTTAATGAAGCCCTCGAGCAAAAAATGTTACATAGAAGACCCTGTATTAGTTTGTTCAACAATCGTTTAGAACTTCTTGATCGGATATTTTCCCATTCCTCGGCGTCGCCATCGAATCGCCCTTAGAATCGCTATTATGTAATATTTCCAACAACTATTGATCTGTTAATATATACAGGGTGTTCCTTAATGATATGCGAATATTTAAGGGTGTGAATCTACATGAAAAATTAATGTTAGTTTGCTTCATAAGCTATGGTCCAAAAATGTTTCCTAACAAAAACTCGGGGCGTTGAAGTTTTAGGAAAAAAATGGAAATTAATTAATATTCTCAGAACCGCTTCAGATATTTCACTGATATTTAGTACGTAGTTAAAGTTAATAAAGCTGCATATTTTTCAATGCAAAAATAATGTTCAGCTTTAACAGTGGCGTGCGTACCGGTATTGACTTATACAGGGTGTCCGCAAAGTTGGAGTTTTCCTTTTCAGAAACAACTACCCTTGAAATAACAAAGGTAATGTGTAGCGAAACGAGGGCGACCAAGTAAAAAAAAAATAAAGGAAAAAGTACTCACTCTCCAGTTGACGAGAAGGGCTAAGTACGTCTCTGCCCGACATCATACCGCTCCAACAGAAAATGAAATCAGCTGAAGCGCTACCGAGCAGACGCAGAAACCACATTGATTGTCTTACACTTAATGGCACATCTTCTAACAAGGAAGGCAAAATGTTGCGTGAAAAGTCTAGGTATTGCATCCCGTCCAATCGATTTGGGAGAATAAATGGTCCAATGAGCATACCGATCACCATGCCAGCCCAAACATTCATCGAAAATGTTTGTTGAAAATGACCAAACATGAGTGTTGCGAAAGTTATTCACCCCATTACGCGTGAACGTAGATTCGTCTGTCACCAATATGCACTTCAAAAAGTCCGGATTATTGTCATGTTGATGCAACAACCACTCACAAATCCGCACTCTTGCTGGAAAATCGTCAGGTTGAAGGGCTTGTACACGTTGGACGTGAAACGGATACAGCCCCTCTTCACGCAGCGTTTGCCACACTTTAGTTTTTGATACTTGCACTTCTCTAGCCACGTCTCTAGTGCTTGTTGTTTTTTGAAACGCAATTGATTATACGAGTTCGTTTACCTCTACACGCGTGACCGTAACCTTCGGTTGAAGGTTGCATACTAACCTGACACACTGACCCCGACCCAGTTCTGCCGTCGGGTTGAGACCTTGTAACAGTCGGGGATATCGCGGCGGGTCGCGGCTACAGGACGGTATTCAGATATTTTTGATGTTGCAGAGCCCTTTATCTAGGTTCCCTTAAGACATTGGTGTATATGGTACTAAGAAAAATTGCTTATGTTTTCAAATCTACACGTCGTGTAAAGGAAAACCCCAACTTTGCAGACACGCTGTATATTTTTTAAGAAAAAATTGGTACGCCAATAGTTTTTTGCTAAATAAAAAGTATTTTTGAATTCCCCGTTCAATTTAAAACAAAGGATCTCTCTCCTTCGATGCGCCATTTTTGAGTAAAAAAATAAAAACCGTTCTATTGTCCGAGAAAATTAATGTAATAATTGAATGCAATTTAGCAGCAAATATCTAGTTGCTCTGGAATATGTCACTGGCTTTTGACATCTGACAAGTCTCTGTTACCTTTGTCAGTGGTATCTTCAAAAAATTACTCAAAATCCGCAATTTGAATCAATGATTCTGTTCACGGACGAAGCTAATTTTTCTCGAAATGCCATTCAGAATTTCCACAATAATCATTTGTGGGCAGAAGAAAATTCCTATGCCGAAACCGAAACGCATTTCCAACACCAATTTTCGGTTAACGTATGGGCAGGAATTATTGGCAACCACTTTATTGGCCCATTCTTCTTGCCGGGACGATTTGACCGTCAGATTTACCTCAATTTTCTTCAACAACAGTTGCCTTTGCTGCTTGATGATGTTCCGTTAGTAATTAATTTTTATTTGGCAAAAAACCATTGGCGCACGATTTTTTTCTTAAAAAATATCGAAGTCAATACCCGTACGCACGCCACTGTTGAACCTAAACATTATTTTTGCATTGAAAAATATGCAAATTTATTAACTTTCACTACGTACTAAATATCAGTGAAATATCTGAAGCGGTTCTGAAAATATTAATTAATTTCCATTTTTTCCCTAAAATTTCAACACCCCGAGTTTTTGTAAGGAAACATTTTTGGACCATAGTTTATAAAGCAAACTAACATTAATTTTTCATGTTGATTCACATGCTTAAATATTCACATATCATTATGGAGCACCCTGTATAATATAAGATAAATATAACGTAAAATATCTAAAGTATCAGCACTCGCGTTCGAAGAATTATGGTCAAATAAACGTGCTCCAACCTGTCTTGATGGTGCCACCTGTGCGACAATTCTCTGCATGCCTGTTCCCCCATCACCGAAAATTTTCGCTTGTATGCATAGTATTTGCTACAAACAAATACCGACATGTGCTGCTCAACACGTTTCCCCTCTGTCGCTGCGTAAATATACGTTTCCCGTATACCAGACACTACTTTGTTTTTCGGATATAACCCGACGCGAAAGGGTTAAGAATACAGCCCCGAATTTGTTCAACATTCCCCTCAGAGCTCGATGTGGAGGGGCGTCCTGAGCGTTGGTCATCTTTCACTTCTCGGCCTTCCCGAAACCTGTTCAACCACTTCTTCACGGTTGGCTCCTTCAGAGAATTGTCGCCGAAACCTGTTTCAAACACTCAAAAATCTCACGGGTTACTTTCAACTAGGACACGTAAATCCTACTTACTCGCACTGCGCTCCGGCTCGAACTGAGCATAGAGAGAGGGAACCACCGGTCCACCCCTCCACAATGTCTTGAAATGACGCCCCGAATGGACTAGTTTAGGAAAAATGAAACAAGATGTTGAAAAAATTATTAATTTATCTCTAAAAACAAAAAAGTTACAGCCCATCAAAGTTATATATTTTTATTCCGTCTGTACGTTTCGTGTGACGTCACACTTCAGTATCCGCGGCCGATTCCTGTGCCCGAGCCGACTCAATATCCAAAACATATGCACAGACACACATACAGCGGGACACATGGTAGGCTAAACGTCTTCCGCCCCAATTTAATTAGTTGACTGCATATACGATCGGTTATGAGCGAAATAAGAAAAAAAGGTTGTTATAAATACTGTACCGTTCCAAAATGTACGAGCACAACAATTACAACCCCTAATAAACATTTTTTCTACGTACCTTCACATGCGGCGTCCATAATGGTATGAACTTACGCAGTACTCAATAGTTATCAACTGGAAACTACGTGTCCGAGCGCTCAGGTGTGCCTTATGAATTGTTTATAGACTAATGACTAAACGCACAGACGCTGTCGAATACCTACGAAACAAGACGCTGGGCACTAGAGAAGTGTGACGTCAGACGCGAACGAACGACAGCAATGATTTCGCGCTATAATGCGCCAAATCTAAGTATCAATTTCTCTGTCATTATTGGCCGATTTCAATAATGTTTTCACTGGCGGATTATATTTAGTCTATATTCTGCTGGTATGTCATTACTTATGCGATTGTGAATATCACGAAACTTCTCCATTGTTTATACGTAATTTCCGGACAAACCTTGTATATTAATCAGTATGGCCCACCCTATACAATGCAACTGATATGTACTCACCAATAATTAGGCGCTGAGAAAACGGTGATGCACTTGCCATCGTGTGCCACCTCATATCCTTCCTGTTTTACCTCGTGGCTTCGGATAATGTAATCCAGGTTGTTCAATTCTAGGAACCGCTTGGTGACATCAGGTCCAAACTGGCAGCCGACTCCTCGTTTGCTGGGGGCCCGCCCCGGCTGCGGTTGAGGGTCCGACCATAGCAGCTCGCACATCGGACCCTCCTCAGGCGGTTGCCTGTTTCGGTCCAGCTTGCAAATCTCGTCTAACGTCACGTCGTCTCGCGTAAACAAACCGCCATGCATCACCTTGCAAAATGAATAAAGGTAATTTAGGATGTACGCTGGTCAGGTGCGAGATAAGTGAAAGTCTCCTATACTGTGTGTACAGGGTGGCCAACTAAGAATGCGAGGAAATGTATCTGGGAACCTATCCATCGTAGAGGCTTGCGAGAAAAACAGTTATTACTAAAACGGCTAAGAGAAAAACCTGGAAAATATTTTCAAGTTTCTGAAATGACCGCTAGAGAGCGTAACTGCAATCTTCAATCAAAAGGGTGATGTTGCTGTGAATTCCGCTATATTAACCTAACAAAAAAATATCTGATCTTCGAATTCGAGGATAATCTGAACCTTATTATGTTTGACAATGTTTGCTGTATCTCTAAAAATAAAGTAGTGGGGGTATTCAAATGTTTCCGTAAGATAACCCTGTATCTTCTAACAGGCTGATCCGATTATAACAAACTTGGGCTACTTGAAAAGATCTATTCTTGGGCTACAAACGTATAGTGGGACTTCGGGAAGCTGGACTTTCTTTTCGGGCAATTGCAGTTAAGAGTGCAAAGAAGTGTAGACACTGTGGTTAGGTGTTGTCAGGCATGGCTTCGAGAAGGCCGTACGCAAAGAGCAAGGGGCACTGGACGCCGCCGTAGAACAACAGACCGTGAAGATCGCCGCCTAAGATTATTGGCCTTAAGGGACCGTTTCTCCACTACCAGGTCCATTGCAAATGAATGGTTTGCAGAATACGGAAGACCTATTGGCATGCGAAGTGTTTACCGACGAATGAGAAGTTTTGGCTTGTTTTCGTACCGGCCATACTGGGTCCTCCCTTTAACTCGAGAACACCGACGTAATCCGCCTTCAGTGGTGCAGACAACGGTCACTCTGGGATCAGGAATGGAACAGTATTGTCTTTAGTGACGCGTCTCGATTTTGTTTAGGCATGCACGATGGTCGTGCCAGGGTTAGAAGGCGACGTGGTGAAAGGAGGAATCCACAGTTTTTTGTTGAAAGACATGTTCATCACACTGTTGGAGTTATGGTTTGGGGTGCTATAGCTTATGGTTCCAGGTCACCGTTAATCTTCATCAGAGGTAACATGAACGCGCAGCGTTATATCCACGAAGTTCTAGAACCCCATCTTTTACCCTATCTTGACACCCTGGCAGATCCAACTTTCCAACAAGATAATGCCCGACCACATGTTGCAAGAGTCACAAGAGACTTCTTTCAACATAATGATGTCACATTGTTACCATAGCCACCAAGATCTCCCGACTTATCCCCAATTGAGCACGTGTGGGATATGATGGGTAGGAGATTGCTCAATTTGCAACGTCCTCATCAGACTCTAGAAGCACTTCGAGAGGAGTTGGTGGTTGCCTGAAATGAGATACTACAGGAGGACATTGGCCACCTGATTAGAAGCATGCCTAGGCGCGTTGGAGAATGCGTAGCATATCAGGGTGCATCCACACATTATTAAAGGTCAAAGGGCTTTAAAGCAGTGCAATCATTTTGAAATTTTTATCATTTACTTATTATGCTTCATTAAGTACTTATACAAAATTTTATTAAAATAAAACCATTTAAACTGGGTGTTCGGATTTATATGTCACTTAGTATATTTGAATTTTTGTTAGTTTTACATGTGGTCGCTAGAGGGCCTTTTATTTTAACTGTTCTTGAATATTTTTTCAGGAATTACTTTTTATTATACAGTTGTGGCCCTGAAAAGGACCAATTTAAAAAAGAAAGGTTTTCAATGCCCCAGTAGATGCTCGAAATCACGTTATATATGCATTTCTGAAACCAGTCATGGGTAGACAAAATTACAGTTTCAATTTCGGCTTTCCGTATTTTACGTATTGCATTAGGAATCCTGTTTTCAAGTCTGGTGGTCGCGAAGGCCATGGAAAAAGACTTTCTCTTCCAATCCACCGCTGTTGAAATACTGCATTAATATACTCTCTCATAATAATAGCAAAATATGCTGGGCAACCATCCAACTGCAAAAACAAGTTTTGCTGTGTTTCTAGTGGCACATCTTCTAACAACAGTAATTGGTTATTCAAAAAGTCAAGAAAGACATTGCCATTTAACTATTAAAGGTGGTTTCATCGGTTCAAAGAATTTGAAATAAAATTCTCTATTTCGCGTATCATGCCTGACATTCAATGACAAAAGTTCAACCTCCGATCAAAGTCTTCCTCTTTCAAGGCCCGATGCAAAACGACATGATAAGGGTGGATTCTAAAAGTAATTAAGAAAGTTCAATTTAAATAAATCCCTATATTTTGATAGCCATTAGAACTTACCTATGGTACTTCAAAATATTTTGAACCGTTGTTCGTGATATGCCCAACTCGAGGGATTAATGCCCTTGTGCTAAAATGAGGATTTCCTTCAACATATCTCAGTACGCGGTTAATATTTTCTTGTTATTCCAATTCTTTGCCTGTGAAACGTATGTCAAAAACCACCATTGGCTCGTAAGCTCGCCACTAATCGGGGAAAACTCTCGCATCGCAAAGACACCGATTTGGATATCGAGACGCGTAAACCCTTTTTGCTACTGCGGCATTCCGAATATATTAAAAATAAACTGCAAGAATATCAACAGCTTTATCATTCCCAAATCGCATTTTGTAAGTACAAAAATTGCTCAAAGTAAAGCCAAACTATTGACAACTATTGAAAATTTGAGAATTATTTATGTTTTGATTAGGTATTTGTTTTGTTGTATTCCATTGTCTTTTTCGTTTATACCCATAGTGAATATGCATTTATAGAAAAAGTGTGCCTTTTGTTATTAGCATTACTTATTTACCTGTTAGCGATATTTTGTAATATTGTCAAAAAGGGTAATTTTATTCTGATGAATAAAAAAATGTCGAGAAAAATTAGTTTGAATATATAAAAATTTAAGCGATTTCAGTATAAAACTTTCTTTGGTCTAAATTAGGTTACGAACAAGATATCGAGATGCGGTTTTCGCGAGCTTGTTTAGACATCGTTTAGAGACTTATTCATGAAAAATCAAACCAATGCATACATTTTTTTGAGAAAATTAACCATTTGTCGGAATGTCGACTCCAGCGGCCACATGTGCAACTAACAAAACATCAAATATTATAACATTTTTAGCCAAAAAAAGCTCTTTTCAGCTAGCCCAAGTTTGTTGAAATCGGTTCAGCCGTTTCGAAGATACAGGATGTTTTTTACGGAAACCTTTGAATACACCTCACCAGTTTATTTTTACAGATACAGCAAACATTGTTAAACAAATTAGATAATAACTGTTTTGCCGCAAGCAAGATGGATAGGTTCCCAGATACAGTACCTAACATTCTTAGTTGGCCACTCTGTACAAAAGAAAGGTGAAGAATATTTACACCAAGAGAAGACACTGCATGAAATGTCTTCAACTTGATTGACCTTGGATTTGACTTGCATTTCTGATTTACAACCAAAACACTGCTTACAGTCTACGAGGGAATCGACCTTGGTTAGGTGATTCGTTCATAGATGGCCATGCACCGAGGCAGGTCACGGTTTTTGGCTGCAACGTAATGATGTCATACGAAATAATATTTATTCACTCAATATACAAAGAGACATGAGTAAATAAATATAGAATAAAAACAGGCCAAATAGGAGGCATTGCCAAATTACAAAAAAGTACAACAACTAGTCACATTATATTATGTATTTACTTGATGTTCGTATTTATGAGCTTATGAATTTCAGTCCTAGATATACAGGGTGTTTTCAAAGTGGAGTCATTTATTTGAACTGCTTGCAGGACTCGTCAAAAGAAGTTGATATACCAAAAATCACCTATATAAAAGTTGCATAATAAAAGAAATAGTAAAAGATTAAAGCATTTAAAAAATAAGCATGTTATTAGACATATTTTTTGACGGCTCGACCACTGCCGAGTAAAATCTTAGCGTTTTTTGTTTACTACTGTTATCTAAATTTGGCAAACTTTTTGTGTTATTGTATGGTTTTCAGTACGAGTCTTTGGTTTGCTCAATTGTATGTATGTATTTTAACAGTGCGTATGCTTTCATTTGTCTAATTATTTTGTGCGAAAAAATGGCCCATGTTTACGAAAACAATGAACTAGTGGACATAAACTAACATACGGGGAGCGCCAACAAAATGCAGCCGCAGCATGTAGGTTGTATGCGGGAAGGTTTCCTTTAAGAAATCATCCGGCTCCACGGATGTTTGTAAATTTAGTTATTAGCTTCGTGACACAGGATATTTAAAGAGCAACGAAGACGTCACGCTGGAAGACCTGCTCAACCTGAAATGTTTCAAATTGAGGAAGGTATTTTAGAAATGGTCGAAGACGACCCAGTGTGGAAGACAATATGACAAGAACAGGATTATCCATATCATTATCAATATATACAAGCGTTACAACCTCAAGATCATCCTAGAAGAATTGCATTTTGCCAGTGGCTTTTAGAACAGTTCAGCAGAAATTGATATTATACGAAATTAATTTTGTGTTGGGCAGTAGAAAATCCGCATGCTATAAAAATAACTCATTTTTAACATAGATTTTCATTAAATGTTAGGGCTAGCGTGGTAAATTTCATGATTATTCCACCTCCACCGACTGATGAAATTTAGATTTTGTTCGACACAATCTGCCGCAATTATTAGAATATGTTCCTCTACATGTGAGACAGAATATGTGGTTCCTACATGAACATCTAAATAATGAGTTTCCGAATAGACGGATAGGGCGCAATGGACCCATTTCTTGGCCTGCTCGCTCCCCGGATTGGGAGCCATTTGAAAGAATTGGTGTATCATGATGGAGCAGTAAATACTTCAACAGTGCACTGAAAATGCTTGTGATTTAATTCGTGGACACCAGGATTGTATTTTCGAAGCTTGTAGAGTCGTTGATTCGCCGAGCAAGATTTTGCGTTAATCGGACAAATGGGGACAATTTTGAACAGTTTTTGTAAAAACGGTATCCATTTAACTTGATAATAATTCTTTTAAATAATTTTCAATTATGTAAAGTAACTCTCTTATTATGCAACTTTTATGTAGGTGATATTTGGTATATCAACTTCTTTTGAAGCGTTCTACAAGCAGTTTAAATATACTGAGTGACAAAAAAAGGTAAACACCTACGTATGTTTATAAGGACTTAAGAATTTTTTACATATCGGTTTATCTAGCCATGAACAACAAGTTATAAAATAGTCAGGTTTTTCTGTTAAGTTTTTGTGGTGAATTCATGTATTGTTTGGTGATAAAGAAACATTCAGTTTTCGTACATTTACGGTGTCAGTTAAATGTTAAATTTCATGTAGCTTATTGAGAAGCCTTTTTGTGATTGCTCAAAAATGCCTAGAGGGCGTAGAATTAGCCGGATGTCCCAGCTAAGGGACTTTGAGCCGGTCTATCGATAAGAGTTCTCAGAAGGACCAATATATCCTTACTCATTATACTGCAGTGTGAACGAGCGTGGGCTCAGGAAGGCCGAGGACACTGAGCGAGGAGTTCTGGAAGTCCCAGAAGGACCACAGAGCGACAAGACCGCCGGTTAAGACTTCTGGTTCTGAGATACAGATTTAGTAATACTCGAACCATCGCTAATCAGTGGTTTGAAGAGGATGGAAGGATGGTTGGTATGCGTATGGTACAGGGTCCGCCAAAGGAACCTGACGTTTTCAGAATGGATAGTACGAAGCTGTTTTTTGACGTAGAACATCGGTTACAGTGGGCAAGACATCGGTAGTAGATGCCATTTCAGTAGTCATGGAGCTGTGGACAAGTGAACATCGCGCATTTGTTGTCGAAACGTATTTTAAAAATCACGACTCGGTGATCATTACCACAGCGTCTATTTCGTACATATTTCAATGTCGGACGTCATGGTTCTGTTCCATGCCGTAACACAATTAAGTTGTGGGTCAAAAATTTTCGTCGATCTGCATCTGCAATGAAAGCTAAGCCACCAGGAATGCGTCGAACAGTTCGGACTACAGCCAATATTGAGAGGGTGCGAACAGCGGTGCAGCAAAGTCCACGTCGTTGAGCTAGGCTACAAGCAATTAGTCTAAGGCTTTCAGAAACAACAGTGCGGCGTATTTTGCATAAGGATTTACATTATCACCCTTACAAATTTGCGATGGTTCAAGAACTGACAGCTGAAGACTTTGTGAACCGTTTGACTGCAAGCAACCAGCTTCTGGAACTTTTGGATGAAAACGCTTTAGGTGGCTTAATTATGTCTGATGAGGCGCATTTCGAGTTATCAGGCTACGTAAATAAGCAGAATTTTCGCTACTGGTGTGCAGAAAAAACGAGAGAACTTCACCAGCGACCCCTTCATAGTCGCAAGGTTACTGTTTGGTGCGGAGTGTCGCGATTCGGCATAATTGGACCCTATTTTTTTGAGGACGATGCTGGAAATTCTGTCACGGTCAATTCGCAACGTTATCTGGAAATGTTAAACACATTTTTGGAACCACAGCTTCGTCGACGGAACATAGATTTAAATACTGTATGGTTTCAGCAAGATGGCGCTGCAGTGCATACAGCACGAGCAACAATGGTTCGACTGCGAGAAATGTTTCCAGGAAGAGTCATTTCGCGGAATGGAGATGTTCCTTGGCCGGCAAGGTCTCCCGATCTCACGGCTTGTGACTATTGGTTATGGGGTTATCTCAAAAGCAAGGTATATTTAACGAGCTCAAGGACCATTGAAGAATTGAAGAAAAACATTCGCAATGAAATTAGCGCGATTCCGATGAGTATGGTACAGCGCGTAATGGGGAATGTGCGAAACCGTTTGGAAGAGTGTGTCCGCAGTGAAGGACATCATTTGACCGAAGTTATTTTCCATACATAAAATTCGATTACTTATATATGAAAATAAATATCTTGAAAGATACATTTGTAGTTTCATATTGAAAATCATCAGGTTCCTTTGGCGGACCCTGTATATCGCCGAATACGACAGTTTGGCCTTTTTTCTTATCGCCCACATTGAGTGCTACCTCTCACAGCTGAACTTCGGCGTAACCGTTTGCTCTGATGTAGAGAAAGAGTTCTATGGGAGCGGGAATGGAATTAGGTGGTCTTTAGTGTCTAGGGATGCACGATGGTCGGGCAAGAGTGAGAAGGCGACGTGGTGAAAGACGTGACTCACAGTTTGACAGAGTGCGTCACGTTCATCACACCGTGGGAGTTATGGAATTGGGTGCTATTGCTTATGGTAGCAGATCACCACTAATTTCCATCAGAGGCAATATGACAGCTCGACGCTATATTCAGGAAATAGTGGAGCCTCATCTTATTCCATACCTAAAAACCACCGAAAACCCATTTTTTCAGCAAGACAATGCCAGGCCGCATGTTGCCAGAGCATCGTTAGCCTTCATGGATCAACATCGCGTCAACCGTTTACCTTGGCCACCACGATCGCCTGACCTATCTCCAATTGAACATGTCTGGGACATGATAGGTCGTAGGCTCTTGAATTTGCAACACCCTCCACAGACTTTAGCAGCTCTTACTCACGAAGTTGCAGTAGCCTGGAATGAGATACCCCTCTAGGATATCGACCACCGTATCAGAACAATGCCCAAGCGTGTCAATGAGTGTATAAGAAATCGTGGATTCTCAACACATTATTGAACCAGCTTCTGCAGTCAGATGACGAATCAAGCTGAAAATTTAATCATTTTACTAGTAAGGGACACTGAACGTATATGCCAAAAATTATTAAAATCGGATAACAATACGTAGGTGTTTACCTTTTTTTGTCACTCAGTATAAATTACTCAACTTTGATATCTAAAGGTAACAAACCTTTTTTTCTTAAGTTCAACGTTTTTTGTTTATTTTAAAAACATTTATATACACATAAGTTTTAAATGTTCCAGTTTCTTTAATGTATTCAGTTTTCATTAAAAACACTATTTTTGTTGTATTTTTTTATGCGGACACCTCTCTTGAACTGACACTTTCAGTCGGTCCCGTTGGTGCCCGTCCAAAGGAGATTTCACTGTACACCTTTTTCAATTAGCACGTTAGCATCAGTCATTTGTTTTATCGTCACTTACCAATACTTTCTTATTTAAACAGTGGGCTAGTGGAAGCCAGTTGTAAACCTCTGTAAAAAGGTCGGCCATTTGAGCAGTGTATTTGGATTTGACTTCTCCATCAAAACCATACATTTGATTCATTGTAGCACTCTCGTGATTGCCTGAAATAAATTATAACAGTTTATTTTTACTATCAATGTAAATCTTGCAAATCGTATTGAAGCAATATGCTTCAGTAAAGTGACGCTCGATAACGTGATACAGGTTGTCGAAGTGTAATTCAAAAATAGTTTTTCTCTATATCTCAAGATGCTTTTGTGCAGGAAAGAATGGTATTACCCAATGGCAGGAAAGAACGCTCGTGTGGAAGTGAAAAATGTATTATACCGGGTGACAATGAAAATTGGAAACACGCTGTATTTTTTTGGCAAATAAAGATATCGCTCCAAGATTGGGACATATTTAGTTAGTCATTAAGAGGCATCTCTTGAAAGATGAATGGGTTATTTCTCCCGTCCGGTTTAACCGTTTCTCAAATGGAAACCTGTATATTTTCTTCCATAATCGTAGTCTATGCAAAATTCCCTTTCCAACGATGTGTCAAAAGTGACATTTTCGTTTTAAAATGGCGGCGCTATAAACAAATTTGTGAATAACCTAAAATCCGCCATTATGCTTACAAGACAAAAAATATTTTAATCTGTCAAGGTGGCGTGATCAACAAATGTCTATTAATACAGGCTAATTAAATGAACGCTTGTCGTTCTATTTTTCAAGTTAGTATTATTAGAAAAAAAAAATCAGGAATCCGCATTTCGACAAAGGATTTCTCATAGATTTTAAATAGGACTCTGTACACATTTTTCAGATATCTTATTCTACCTAAAGTTCTCTATTCAGTGATGAACAAGTTTGTGAATTAACCTGCACAAGCTATAGGTAATACAAAACAAAAAGTAGGTCTTTTTTATTATTGACTCTAAATGAAAACGCATTTCCAACAATGTTCTGTAAGCTACTATCGGTTTGACAAATTTCAAATAGCATTTATTTGAAAAAAATAGTACGCTGTGGAAAACAAATCAGTCAATTCATTGCGTACCCATTATTGTTAGTTATTTGACGTTTGACAATCTTTGTTTCACCTAAATTTATTTTTACTTATTCCTATTCCATAAAAGGTAAACCAACAGTATTTTTTTACTGAGTTTTACAAGAAACAAGCAAGTTGATATGTTACGAGAGCCACGCTATATATTTTGGGATACACGAAAACTAAAAACTATTTTTCGAAAACTAGTTTATTTACGTTCAAAGTATTCTTCTCCAGCATCAATGCATTCTGTAGCCTGACCTTCCACAAATGAAATGCTTCTAGCCAGTCAGTTTTTGGAATGCCTTCAACAAACTGATTAATTGCTTGTTCGATTTCCTCTTCGGACGAAAATTTTCGATCACGCAGGTTTTTTTTTTTCAAATTATTGAAGACCCAGAAGTCACACATTGCCAAATCTGGCGAATAAGGCTGATGCTCCAGCATTTTGATGTGGCGCTGGCGTAAAAACTCTACAGTTAGTTGGGCAGTGTCGCTAGAGGCATTGTCGTGGATTGCACGCAACAACTTCTTTTAAATGAAGATGATCATGCAAAATGGTGTGCACTGTTGCGGATCCTACTCCAAGAGTTGTCTCTATAGTCGCATATGTGCAGCGAGAATCTTCCTCAATTAGCCGCTAAACTTTAGCAATTTTTTCTGGAGTCACACTAGAACCTGGCCTACCACTACGTTCTTCATCATCCAGTGAAACACGCCCTCTTTTAAATTCCGCATACCAGCAAAACACTTACCAGGGACGGAACTTCATTACCAAATGCCTGTTGTAACCGTTCGATACATGGATGTTCAGTTAAACTGAATTTAAAGTCATAGTAAATTAGATAACTCTCTCGAAACAACTCCATGTTTCATCTCAAATTTGTTTAGACCACGTGCTTGCAAATGAACTGAATGCGACGACTTACTAATAAAGGACTTCCCTTTCTAATAGTGCACTGTTGTCGGTTTTAACTAGTATAGTTAATGCACATCTCAAAATATACAGCGGGCTCCTCATATTAATATTCGGTGAATGCAGAAAAAAATCTAGAAATGCTTGTGCGTTATACGCTCAGCGATATGCTAATAGAAGACATCCAAGTTATTCATACTTTTTCAAGTTAGAAGCAAAGTTTAGAAATGAGAATGACAATGGTAATGAAAATAACTCTTCTCTCTCTCTTCTGGGAATCCGCATAGGTGCTATATTTTTTTATGAACCCTTAAATGGGAAAGATTATCTTGACTTTTTGCAAAATTAAATACAAGATTTTCTTGATGGATGCCCACAACAGCAGAGAAGTTACAAGATATTTAACGGATAGACTCGGAAATCATTGGCTAGGGACAAACGGTCCTATTAGGCGGCGATTTAACCATTCTAGACTTTTGCATTTGGACCTACTTGAAGAAGAAGGTTTATGTCAATATTTTTTAAACAATGGGCTTGCAGAAACCATAACAATGCTACCAAAATAATGAAGGACGCATTGGACATTATTAGCTTTAATATGAACGTTTAATAGTTTTTAGTTCTTAATTTTGTAATATTTTTTCATTTTTTCTGCACAATTAACGCTAATGAGTGTACCTACCGTCTGCAAAAAAAAAAATCGAGGCAAGAATGAAAAAGTGATCAGGTTCTGAGTTTCACCAAAATTTTGCTTCTTGCGTTAATTTTGAACATGGGTGTATATACTAGTTTTCTAACTTTATTATAAAGGTAATTAATATGATTCCATTTTAGATTTTGGCCACTGATTTTGCCTGAATACTAAATGAAAGTTGATATATGTATATGAGGAATAGTATAGGACCTAAAACAGCCCCTTGTGGAACTTCAGTCCTGATAATATCAGGATCACTTAGGCCCGTATCGTCAGTCGTCCCTACAATTGTAGGGCGCGTTTATGGCCTCCTTGATTGCCATACTCTTTCCTCTCCTTCAAAAATTTCTAGATTACACTCGTCCCGTGTCATCGTCAGCGATCTCCTATTGTTAAGATATGTTTTCCTTTTAAATTGTAGGAAATTTCAGGCTGATAAAACATGATATAACTCAAACGCAAGCACAATTTGATGCAAATAGATGTTTGTGAAATAACCTCAAAATAGAGTTCTGACACGGAGAAGCAGAAAACTATGACAATCAAGGAGGCCATAAAGGCGCCCCACAATTGTAGGGACGACTGACGATACGGGCCTTAGCCCTAATTTATTAATCCGGGGCGTAAAACCTATGGCACAATCTTGACCAACGAGAAGGCATCCTTGAAGCAGTGGATCTAATGAATATAGCGATTTTCTTTTGAAATGTGTCAAACTAGATTTGTGAAAGATGAAAAATTTTGTCACGTTATCCTCCGTGATAGCCGCTTTCGGGGCGCCTGGGCGTGGCTCATCAAAAAGCGACGTGCGACCACGTTAAAGCTCGTTAAACAAATTTTTGACGGTCGCCATCGAAGAGTAAGAGTCATCGTACGCAGCATCAAATCGCTCTTTGATTTCGCTGCGCAATTTCCCTTCAAAAATCAAGAACTGACCGATAATGCTCTTTTTTTATTTTTCTCCATTCCTCCACACGCGGTAAATTACTCTTGCGATAGTTGCGCCATCGGGCGGTGAGGCTAAGTACTTATCGGACCACCGTCGTATATTTTCTCATTTTTAAACATAGACAAACACACAGATGTACACTACCGTTCAAAAGTATTTGAAGCTTGAGTTGAACCTGTGTCACCATACTTTTTTTACAATATCTGTCACCGTAGACTTTGCGACATTTATTTGTTTAGCAATATCCCGAAAACTACTTCCTTGAGGAAACAATTTTATGATTAAGACTCTGATTGTACCGTTTGTGGCTTTACCACGCGACATTTTAAACCAAATTGATTCACAGAAGTGATTCTTAAATCAAAACGTCAAATTGTAAACACTTTCTTGTTTCCATGGCCTGCTATTATTTTCTTTTTAATATTGTGTCTGGTCATTTATGTGTCAGCAAAATGTTGCGTTGTTATCAATATTACTTTGATATTATATTGCAGTATCATATTATTTGAAAACAGCTTTGTTAATATAATGTGCAAACGATATATTTCATTGTTTTCTAAAGGAAAAACTACTAATTTTTTACGTTACAAAAATAAACAAACTTTTAGATAAAATTAGATAATGTCCAAACATTTTTGTGTGAGGGCTCGTATCTGAAGTAGCATTCGCATGATTATGAACAATCTTTGTTCATACTCGGTCCATCAATTGATTGAGTGCTGTTGAGATTTTATTCTAGAATTTTTTCCATCAACAAAAATGCACCCTGCGTCGTTTATATCTTTTACGCTGCAGAAAAAAATGGCACTGTCATCCTCCGGCTCATTTTCTTCCACTGCTGCGATTGTCAAGACTAACGAGTCGTCATTATAATAGCACCTCACCGTCTATGATATCAAACAGATTGCACCGAGGGCCGCTTATCCAATAACACTACGTGTTTTACAGTTTTTTGATTCACCAACAGCACCACGTTGTAGTATAACTTCAGAAGGTACCACTGTCATCTGTACACTGCATTATTAAGAAATTTAACAATGACTTATTCCATTCAAGAAAGGGTAGAAATAACAAAACTGTATTACCAAAATGGGAGCATTGCAAGAGCTACTGCCCTGTTTTTTAATGAGTTACATCCGGACAAATATTTTAACGATAAGTATGTGGCTAAGTTGATAAGAAAATTTGAAGAAACCCGATCTGTGTCGTCTCCATAGAAATCAACATTGACGGGTCAGAGTTTTTCCCACAATATACCTGGAGAGTCAAAATGGGAGTACGACCTTTTCGTTGGCCACCATGTATAAATAAGGAACTTGAAAGTACTCAGTATTCGTACAATCACCCTTCTACATATTTGTGTTTACGCATATCAGTTCAGCGTCTAGAGAAGTCACGACGGATATGATAAAGTGCGAAAAAATTATAACCTTACCTCGAGACATAAAGAAATGATTAGGATACAGTAGCTTGAAGCCAAATAAGGTGAATATACACTCTACGGAAAACGATCCTCGATCCACGAAGTCTCCATTGAAAAGATATGGATTCGTTTCTGAAGGTAGACCGTTGAGCTCAAATATGTGCATGAGATCGTAAAACTGGCCATGGATATCACCGCATACAGTAAACTTGTCGTCATCCCCGAATGTGATGTCAATAAGTGAGGGCTTTTTCATGAAATACGCCTTTATGTCTAAAAGAATCTGGAACAAAGAAAATTTTACCGTATTGCAGCTAATATGTACTAGGGTCACTCTTATTTTCAGCGTAAAAAACTGTTTCAGGCCCGTACAATCTAAAATTTGCGTCTAAAGTAAGAGTGTTGATTCAGTATGTATCATAAATTTAAGATTACGATTCTTTGAGTAATTTCAAGACAAGAAGTGCATATAAACATAGGCCCGTAAATTCTTCATTCTCAAGATACAGGGTAATCAAGTTTAAAAAAAATGGTTTTCCATAAATTTCTTAAATATCCTTTACCTAATTTTGTTGTAATTTGGCGGTGGTATTTATAGCATTAGGGAGCTAATTTAGCACTAACTTGACTAAATTTATTAAGTCCAGTGGGGTCTCGATCGGGATCTGAATGAATATTTGTGACAAAATATATGCGCCACTGACTTTTGGGATTTTTTTTATTATGCTCTTTAGATTAAGCAAATAGAAATATGTACAACTCTTTTGTCTCTTTATTTTTTTTTCGTATTTTGCTTAGTTTTCGAGAAAAAAGTCCACTTAATGGCTTAGCCCTGGACCACACAAGGAATATGGAGAAAAGTTTCTTTTGGAAATAATTTTTTTATATTCTTTTACTAATTATGTAACGACAACAAATAAACATTACATTAACATCTAAACCAATGAATTTCACTAAACTGAGGAATAGTAAATAATAATGAAGGGTTGCCTTGGAAAACGATTGAAGCATTTAGTAAACAACTTGACAGTCGTCAACTTAGTATTTATATAGTAAGCTATTAATCCATAATTTTTATAAAAGATATTCTTAGTGGTTATTTTTTGTCCAATATAGTTCAATTTACTAATAGTAATGATAGACGCATTTATCATGAAAGATTTCCTCGGCATGTAGTGCTGAAACAGACAGCTTTCAAAGATCGACAGTTGTCATCGGAAGGCCTGCAACGGTACGAACAGTTCAAATTGAAGAAGCTCCTCATACCAGTACTCGGAAAATAGCTGAAGATCTGAATATTACCCATGTCGCAGTGTGGCAGATTTTGAGAGTCCAGCAGCCTATTATGACTGGTAATCTAGTAATATTTAAAAATTCCCCATATCGGCAAAGGACACATAATTCTGATGGATCCGTCAATGCTAGGTAGACAGAGACATATTTTGTTTTGGTCTTTATACGCTACAGATTAAATTTGTACTTGCTAAAAGCTCGTTTATTTTCCGATTTTCTAAGTCGCAATTCAATTATTAGCTTCCACAACAATCAGATTTGGGCCGAAAACAATCCACACACCTTAATAGAACATGATTTTCAGGAAGTTTCAATATTTGGGTTGGAATTGTCGGTGACGCGGCCATCTCATTGGGACTCATTTTCTTCCACCCAGACTTAATGAACACCGAAGGTTTTTAGAATTCGTTTTACCTGGACTTTTAGAAGAAGTTTCAGTCATTGAAAGATTCCGTATGTGGTAGATGCACGACGGGGTAGGGATGTTCGATACGATCCGATATTTAGAAGTATCGATACTTTTGCTTCCGATACCCGATATTTTGGTGCGATATTTTTATTCGATACTTGGGTGTATTGATACACTTCACGAGTATCGTCATCTTTCGATCAGAACAGGGTCACAAAGAGTGACTAACTTCAGATTACTTTTCTTCTTTGTTTCCTTCCACTTCACAACCTCACATAATTTATTTTGGACTCCAGTGTTGCCATATTAGGGGGTTTTCCCCATCAAGGGACTTTTTTCTGAGGATTTCTTTTGGGGAAACAGATTTGACTGGGTAGGTGTTATTATGTGAAATTTTATTAATGAGATTACATAATGTACGAACTTGTTATGTATTTATTTGTCTTTAGATTCGGGGTATTTAGCGACATACAAAAAACATATTTGAGGATCCAAGAATACCTAACAAATCGTAAACCTATGGTAACAACAAATAAATTATATTTTTTGGCATTTTTTTAAAAAGTCCTGAATTTAGGGTATTTTTACATTTCGACTGGGGAAACTCAGCTAAGGGACCTGGCAACCCTGTCGGATTCGGTTTCGGGGAACTACACACACATGACACAGTGGTTTTAGTACTGATTGATTAAAGTCAGTTTAAAACAAAACATTATTGTGATAGTGATGCCTCCTGTAAAAGTGATTTGCGGAGCTTTTTTGTAAAATCTGGTTTAGGCGAGAAATGTAAGTTATACAGTTGCGAGGTTTTTCACCTATTTTTTATTAGTGAACAATCTAGTCACGCAGTTGAAAAAAGTAAACACTATTCTGAGGGCTGTCGAAAAAACAACTTCGATTTTCGGCAGTGTATGTTCCGTATCGGAAAGTTTCGATACTTGTAGTACGAGTATAGATATTTTTGTTCCGATATTTTAAAGTATCGATATTTCCCAAAGGGATACGAAGCGATACATGGTATCGATACTTTTCGTGGATCCGAATACTCCTAAGGCGGGGCTTCACCACACTGTAGTGTAGTGGCGGGGCAATTTTTGGATGAAAATTACCATAATCGGTGGTGGGAGAGCAGCACCTATGGCCCCCTCGCTCGCTCGATATGACTCCCTTAAGATTTTCTATGCAGACACCTTAAAGCGTTGGTATACAAAACTTCTATTCAAAGTGAAGTGGATTTACGGAATAGAATCATAAGTTCATGAGACAATAAAAAATACGTATTAATAATAAATAGGTATTTTGAAAAGAGTGCGTAATTCAATGACGAGGTGGCTAGACGGTTGTATTGAAGCCGAAGGGGGCTATTTCCAACATTTAATTTAGTGAAATTTGTTAGACCAGATGTTATTTAGAATTTGTTGCTGTTGTTGCATGATTAGTAATAAAAAATTATGAAAAAAATAATTTCCAAAAGAAACTTTTCCCCATATTCCTTGTATGGCCCAGGGATATGCAATTAAGTGGACTTTTTTTCTCGATAACTAAGCAAGATACGAAAAAAAGTCAATAGACAAAAAATATATATTTCTATTTGCTTAATCTAAAGAACATGAGAAAACTTGCGCAATAGTCAGTGGCGTACAATTTTTTTGTCACAAATATTCATTCAGATCCTGCTGGAGACGCCACTGGACTTGATAAATTTAATCAAGTCAGGGCTAAATTAGCTCCTTAATGCTATAAATACCACCGCCAAATTACAACAAAATCATAGGATATTGAAGATATTTACGAAAAGCATTTTTTTTAATTTTAATACCCTGTATCTTGAGAACGAAGAATTTGCGGACCTATGATTATATGAACTTTCGGTCTTAAAATTATTCAAAGAAACGTCTGTTAAATTTATGGTACATACTTAATTAACATCCTGTGTGTTACTCTATTCTTATAAAAAAATGCGACAAGTAGGTTGTCTCTGTACTTTCCAAGCTAAGCTGTCATCAGTTCATAAAGAATTATGTTCGGTACAAGTTAGCTCCTCTGAGAAAAAAGTTAGCTACAAACATGTAACGTATGTCTTAAAAGTTTTGGCACAAAATATTTATCGGATTTTTTTTTTAATGAAGAAATGCATTTAAGCAGTAACTAATTATCATAAATTACAACTCAATACTTAACTAAACTATACTATCAAATTATGTGGAGTAGCCCCATTCTACTCTACGAGACGCAACTTTTTTCGAATGTCTCTCGTGAGGTTCTGGACGGAATTCAGATCAATTTCTCTCAGTTTTTCGTAAATTCGCCGTCTTAATTGTTCTTCATCTTGGGCTTCACAACCTAAATGATACGCCTTCCTAGGCAGTAAAGCCCAAACATCCTCTATTGTGCGAGCCTACGGCAAGTTTGCAGGACTATCCTTTTTTGGGAAGAAAAAGTATGTTGTGTTGTCGAAGCCAGTTTTGGGTATCTCTTGATTAATGGCATGATGCTAGGTCTGTCCAAAACATGATACGGTCATTAACATGATGTTCGTGGACAAACTGAAGCAATTTGGAAAGACAGTTATCAATATAGCTCTGACTATTTAAAGCTTCACCCGTCACTCTTCCCACAAAAGGTTGGGATACACCCCTCTTAGAAATTGTGCACCAGACAAGGATTTTATCTGCAAATTCCGCTTTATATTTGTATCTAATATTGTCAGGCTATTTCTCCATGTTGTCATTATAAAATCATTCATTTCAGAATTACTTGAAGTGAAATACTTTACGTCATCTAAAATAATGAGTCGCAAAGTGTACCCTCCTCAGTTATCGACAGCATCTTGGTATACGAAGGAGTTGCGCTTGAGAGTCTTTGGGGCACTTAAGTCTCTTTCGATACTTAAGACCATTCCTCCTCAATTCCAACGATAAAGGTACTCTTAGAAGATCTGCATTGACGAGCCAGTCTCCTTGTTGACATTCCATCCTGATTTTTTGCTATTCTTACCAATATCTCTGACCTCTGTGCAGAAAATGCACGTGGTCTTCCACTTTTTAGGAGATTAAGACATCGTATTCCCTGCTCGCACTCCGCTATTGTTCGATAAATGATTCAGCGTGAAATGTTTTCATACTGAGATATTCGACAGATTTCAGCTTTGGGTACCCGCCCAACCAACTTGTACAGGTAGATACTTTCTTATTTCTAATCTATACGACATCTTAAAGCGAAAACTTCAAAATAAATAAATGTCAACTGACAGTAAAGTAAATAAACGAGCTTTTGTTTCCAAAGGCTACTTGATATTATTTTGTGTTTGTTAAAAGTAAAACCGATGAATTTTGTCCCAAAACTTTTAGGACATACGTTATAGGAGTAATAAAATGACAATGAGAATGATAATCGTAGTAATGATAATAATGATGATGATAACGACAATGATAATCACAGAAATGCGTGACATGGTTCTTCGTGATATACATGTCATCTAACATCCAAAAACCTTTTGAGATTGTAAATAATTCGGCAAGCCACAGTTCAAAATAGATATATAAATAATAAATACATTAACGCTGCCATTTTCGTAAAAT